AGCAACGAACCATTACTCCATCGGATTGTGACGTGCAACAAAAAGTGGATTTTATACAACTGGCAATGACCAGCTCAGTGGTTGGATGGAGAAGCAGCTCCAAAGCACTTCCTAAAGCCAAACTTGCACCCAAAAAAAGGTCATGGTCACTGGTGGTCTGCTGCTGGTCTGATCCACTACAGCTTTCTGAATCCCAGTGAAACCACTACATCTGAGAAGTATGCTCGGCAAATCGGTGAGTCGCACCAAGAACTGCAACGCCTGCAACTGGCATCGGTCAACAGAAAAGGCCCAGTTCTTTTCCACGAAAGCACCTGACCACACTTTGCACAACCAAAGCTTCAAAAGTTGAACGAATTGGGTTGCGAAGTTTTGCCGCCTCTGCCATACTCATCTGACCTCTCGCCAACCGACTACCACGTTTTCAAACATCATGCCAACTTTTTGCAGGGAAAGTATTTCCACAACTAGCAGGATGCAGAAAATGCTTTCCAGGAGTTCGTCCAATCCCGAAGCACGGATTTTCATGCTACAGGAATAAACAAACTTATTTCTCATTGGCAACAATGTGTTGATTGTAATGGTTCCTATTTTGATTAATAAAGATGTGTTTGAGCCTAGTTATAATGATTTGACATTTACAGTCTGAAACCGCAATTACTTTTGCACCAACCTAAATATTTAATAAGACCCAAGTAAAAGGATAGAAAGACCATATTGATGGATTGGAGGACTCCATATCATAAACATGTTAATTCTTGCATAAACCGATTTATAAAGTCAATGTGATTCCCAAGGAACTTCCAAAAGGGTTGGTCGCATGTATGTGTGTAATCTGAGAAGCTGATTCTAAAATTTATATGAAAGTCTACAGGTCCAAGAATAGCCAAAAAAACTCTTGGAATATAAATTGAAGGGTTTTATTTTACTAGATTAAGAATTACGGTAAATATACAGTAAATAAAACTGTGTAGTGTTAGCAAAGGGTTATATAAATTGACTAATAACATAGAAAAAAAAGCCTAGACACAAAGCACAAATATATGAAAACTTACGACAAAGTTAACACTGCAGATGAGAGAAGAAAAAAGGAACTTTTCAAAAGATGGTCCTCAAACAATCAGTGAAGTAAAAAAAAAAAAAAAATGCAGATTTAAACATGAAAGGCAAAAATCATAGAACTTCTGTAGGAAAATATATCATTTTCATGACCTTGGAACTGAGAGTATAGGAAGAAAATGAATTTGACAATTACGATAAAAAATGCCAATTCATCAAGACACCATAAATAGCATGAGAACAGAAACACAAACTGAGAAAAGATACATGCAACGCATATCACTGACAATGAATTAATAGCCAGACTAGCAAATAAAAAAAAAAACCTATAAATCAATTTTGAAAAAAAAAAAACTACTCAATAAAAAAGTTTACAAAAGACTTGACTGGCATTTTACAGGGAAAAAACCCTAAAACCAAGAAACAGATGAAGATAAAAAACATCCTTAACAAGTAGCTTTCTTAATAAGTAACAAAGTCTCTACAAAATACCTAATGCTACCAAACAAAACGCAAAAATCTCTGTCATGCGTAGGTGAGGATGTGGAATAACTGGAACATTTAAATATTGCTAGAATAAACAAATCTTGTTAACACTATTTTGAGAAACAAATTTGCACCGTCTAGGTAAAGGTAAACATAAACATCTTCTGTGACTCAGTAATTCTAGTCCTAGACGTACACCCTAAGAAGATTCTCACACATGTACATTCACAAGACATGTAAAATAAAGTTCACAACTCAACCACTTGAGGGAACAAAAAATATCCATCAACAGTAGAATGAAAAACTAAATTGTGAACTGTGAATGTAACACAATACACAACACAGATCAATCTCGGGTGGGTGACGTGAACCAGCAAGCTGAGGAAGAACGCACACAGTATGACTCCAGCATGCATGAAGCCAAATAATGTATTGTCTAGGAATACGAGCACATGTGGTTAAAATGACAGCAAAAAGCGAGATCACGATAAGCACAAAAGGGTTACTCCTGAGAAGGGAGCGATTAAGATGGGACTGGGAAGGGGCACACAGGAGACGGCAACGCCATTAGTTGGACCAAATGGTGGGTACACACGCGTACTTACATGTATACTTATTATTCCTTGTGCTTCACATATATTTCATAGCTATCCTTCCTGTGTACTGCATATTTCATAAAAATAAATTTTTAAAAACGCTATACTCTTCAGAGGTGGCAACAGTCAAAAGGAAGTGATATGTCCAAATACAGACAACTGAATACCATAAAACTGCATATATATCCCTAGGTGTACTGAGATTATCTAAATTAAAAAAGAAGAGAAAAAGGAAAGCAGGCCACTGAAGAACGATGCTTAATTATATGTAACTGTTTATTTAATTTTCCAAGTCTTCCAATGATTTAACAGGCTTTGCTTTACTTTTACCATCTCAAACAACTAGAAATCAATACTTGACACATTTTGTACTTTATTTTAATCACTCTGTATGCTATTTTAATAACATTTTTCTTTTAATACTAGAATCAAATATATCGACCAATAAGCAGTATAGATCTTCTTAGGTAGCTATGGTAAGCTGAGGTATCACAGACAGATTCTTGGGATTTATATGATGCTGGAAAGCTGTTTCAGGCCTTTTCTCTAACTAGGTGCATGTCTTAGGCAAAACATGCCAGCTCTCTAGGACTGTTTTCTCATCTGCAAAATAAAGGCCTAAATTAGATGATACCTATTGTATGGCTGTAAAATTCCATGACTATTATTTCCCCATCATTTTCACTTACTTTTACTTCATCTTTATTTGCTACTTCTCCACCTATAAAGCATAATTTCCCATGCTCAAGTAAACATGAATTCATTAAAAAATAAACACAAACCCAAAATATTCTTTTCTAATATATCTGCATTAATAGATAAAAAGGCTTTCACTTGAATTTTCATTTTATTTCTATCTCTTATTTAAAGTCAATGATAAAGTCACAACTGTAAAATGAATACATTTAAAAACACAAAAGATACATTTCAATGACAAAAAATATACAATGATCATGAAAATCTACTGTACAATTTGCCAAGGTCAAAGAATGACAGATGATATGAAGAAGTCAATCTTCAAATATATCCTTAACAAAAGCCTCTTCCAAATAGTAAAACCATCATTTAGGAATATGCATCTTTACACATCAGGACACCAGCTCCAACAAAGAAAGGCAAGGGAAAGGGGGCAGATAAGAGGATGACTTTCCCCGGTTTTGTAGATTACAAACAGGTGGTCACCGGGAATTAAAGATTAAACTTCTAAAACAAACACTTAATTCAAAAGAAAATGAACATTTCTAACAGATGACAATAGTATGGAACTGATTTTTTCTTTCCTAGTCAGAAATGAGATGGGGCATTTCTTAATAACAGCTTAGTACTCGTCTAGTACTTAGTACTCTTAGTACTCGTCTTAGTACTGTTGAGATACCCCATTCTACCTCCCCAGTCACTGGTAGAAAACAAATACCTTCTATGAAATTATCTTTCACATTACTAAAATATCCTCAATTACTTGTAACAATTTCAGGCTCAGAATATTTCAAACACTTGTTTTTAGATATGTGGAATTATTGGAGCTGAGATTTTTGAAACAATATATCTGACTTAGATAATAATCCTTTCCATCTAGCTGATTGGGTCTCTTTAAGCAAATCTGAGCAACTACTGTAATAGCGATGCTGGTGGCAATAGGAGATACTCTCAAATTTTTCCCTTTAAGAAATACAGAACCCATGTTACACTAAGTAGTAAATACGTTACACTGTACACTTTCTTAACAAGGAATGACTGTTATCAGGCTTTACTAGGAAAACAAATAATGGCATATACTACCTATTTATCACTGATAAGCTACAAACTCGAGTGATAGATAACTTTAAGTATGTGATATTAAGCAAAAAATGAAAACCATTATAATTTTACCAAAAGGAACATTTAAAAATATATATGGGAAGAAGTTACGTGAACATGGCATAGGTCCCAAAGATTACACCGTGATTCTGAACCATACTTTCAAAACAAAAGGCATCTACAAATAATTTGTCAATATTTCTTATACCAGAAAGATCCAAAGCAAACGGAGGCAAGCTCAGCCCTACCTTGTCAAAGATAAATATTCAGATAAACTAGACGTTCCATCTGCTAAAGTGCATCTGCTGACCAGGTCTGCCCTGGCCCTGATCCTCAGAGCCATCCAAGAAAGTGGCCATCACTCATGTTCATTCACTCTCTGTGTTTCCTCTTTCTAGTTTCATAGTCCCTTGGTTTTTTTTTTAAATCTCTATGCTTTATGCAGTTATTTGTTTAACCATGTCTTTTGGCTATAGTTTCTTTTGCAATTGTAGCGGGTTTGTATAATCTCATTTTTTGTTTGTGGTTTTTTTAAGGGTCCATTCTTCCTTATTTTTTATTCTTTTTGCTTTCATATTTTGTTGGTGTTCTCTTTACATCTCTTTGGGAGTAGTGGTTGTTTGTTTAGGTGTGTCTTTTTGCAACGGATTTGATCTTCTTATTAGCTGGGCTGTTTTCTTTGATGAAATGTGTGGGGTTTTTTTTTCGCTCCGTTTTTCTATGTTTCGTATTTTTATTGCCTTCTTTTATTTGCCGTCTTATCTTTACCGCTACTCATCTGTAGTGGTTTCAACGAAAGGTGAATAGATCTACAAAGCATTTGATCTTCTTATTAGATAACAAAATTTCGTAGAGGAAATGCAAACAACCGCAACTTCGATCAGATTATATAAGCCTAACAATTATATAACCTTATATAAAATGAAATCTAACCCTCACCACTACAAATCTGTAAAGGAATCAGAAAAGGATTTATAGTGCTCAAAGTCTTGGCTATTGTTGCATTCCACTTTGAAATCACTGAGTTAAAACAGCATTTTTCCAAGATTTAAAGAAAAATATATTTTATAAAAGGGATTCTTTTTTAATCATTGAATACATCATTTTTGTTATCGACAGAAACAAGTTATACTTTTTTCCACTATAATTCACTCTGATGAAAGAAATAATTCTCTCTCTTAACTCCTAACACATACATTTTCAAGACTAAAGGAATTATCAGTAGGCATTCTTTCTTCTTGATCTAAGTTATTTGTCTCTAAAATATGTCAAGTAAGCTTTTAAAGATTCAGGGAGGGGCAGCTTCATGATTTTTTCTCTCAGTAAATTTTGAGGTGGCTCCTCTGGCTTCATGGCTTCACTGGGATCTTTCTCTTCCTCTTCTTTGTTATCTTCTTCCATTTTTTCATCCTCCTCACTGTCTAGAGGCTGAGGAATAAGCTGATTACCCACAAATACATAAGTGTTAATTTTCTGTTTAACTCTCTTTCTTTTCCTTTTGGGTGCAGCCCTTTGAGGAATCCCCTTGGCCTGCATCTCATCATTTATGAAATTTCTAAGTGTGCGCCGAATGTAAATACGAGCCAAGTCCTGTAGATTCCTGACAGCACAGGGGGCTAAAAAGAAACAAACAAACAAAACACAAAAAGAAAACATAAAAAATAAAACATCATATATTGTTCATTTCTTCACAGAACAAAATATGTTTCTTAGCAAATTTTAGAAAACATAGAAAAGTATAAAAACTCTGACTTTCATCTAACAAAGTAACAAAGGTTTGGGGATAACTTGTTACATGCCAAGCACCATTCTAAGTGCTGACGAGAGCGGACAGCATGGAGGTTAAAATGTATAGGAGAGTGTGTGTGTCTGTGTGTTGCCATTTATATGCATAAACATTCTCTGGAAAGATAAGAATTTAGAAGCAGGGTGTGTGAAAACTATATGAGAACTAAGTAATGAGGAAAAAAGAACAAGAGAAAGACTTTACCCTGAATACCCTCTTATATTTTTTGATGTTTAAATCCTATTAAAAAATACTATCTATTTAAAAAACCCAAAAGCAACATTTGAACAGCTGCCCCTGTCTGAACCCTAAACCTAATTTTACACACACACCTTTCTTTCTGTAAATCAGTAAGTAGAATTGGTTCATGGCAAAGGTCCATCAGAAATCATGCCACAAACAAACACTTTAATAGTCCAAAGAAACACCATAGATTTTTTTTAAGTTACTGATGTTTATTTATATCAAATACATCATAGAGTTGGAACATACCTCCTGTCTGCTTCACTCCTATCTCCCACAGATATACACATATATATGTACAAAAGCATAAACCCTAGAACCACATACTCTTCTTCGTAGATTGTTCCAATACTTTACACATAGAGAAATGAATTCCCTATGCCCCTTCCAAAATTAATTTCTCCTAGTTTCCATACCTGTGGAAATAAAACTATTACCAGGGATCCTTCTCAAATATCTGAAAATAAATAAAACATAACCCTCCTCAGTTAAACAGCATTAAAAATCTTCATCATTTATTTTTTTATCTCTTCATTCTTGATACTCTTTTCTGGATATCCCTCTTCCAAACTTTTTTAACATTTGAAATTCTGCTTTCTTTAGCTATTTGTAAATGGCCCATCTTTGCCTTAGACCGTGAGCTCTGGGAGGGGAGGCTGTTTTGTTCTTCGCACTCTCAGAAGGGCCCTGCAGGTATGAGCGGCTCCCATGCTTGCTCACTCTTCCCACCGGCCAGTGTCCTGGGCTGTGCCCAGTCACGCATCAGACACACCCTGCACAAGTAGTATGTTTTTTCACAAACTTTAGGAGACCTTGAAACCCTACTCAAAGATCTCTTAGCACATATTGTTGGTCCACCACAAACCTCAAGCTGTCTTTTTTTATCCTGCTACTGAAACCTGAAAAGAAAAGAATTCCAAAGAGCCACAGGGGGCATATTCAGCTAGAAACCATTTTCTCTATTGGTCTTGACCTGTCCCCAACTACATCTAGTGGAAACTGAAACACAGAAATAGTTGAGTTCAAATCCTGCTTCAGCCACCAATTAGTTTTGATAACATGCATTAGCAGCAACAGATGTGAGATCTCATCTCTTGTATGTTAAAATGTGTAAAATACCACCTACTCTGCCTACTTTCCAAAATTGCTCCTCAAGTTATTTAACATTCATTCAACAAATATTTGTTAAACTATATGCCAAGCACCATTAAAAATCCCATTTAGATACAGCAGGTGATTCAGACTACGAAGTCTGTACTCCCTGCACTCATGGAGCTTACATGTTTGGGGTCAGGGTAGATAAACAAAAAGCAATTATGAAAAACGGGATATAAAAAAACAAAACATCAACGATACGAAAGAAAGTGTCTTGGGGGTATGGTTGTTTCGACTGGGTAGTCACAAAGGTCTCCCTGAGGAGGTCACGTCCAAGCCAGGGTCTACATGATAGGAGGTAACATCCACGTAAATACCTGGGGCAGAGGGAACAGCAAAACCCTAATGGGTAGATGAGCCTGGAATGTTCAAAGAGCTGAAGGCAGGCTGGCACAGAGGAAGCTCAAGGGTCAGGAGGCCAGCTGAAACAGTTCAGTAATCCACATGAAACACGACCACACTCGGACAGAGGGGTGGCAGTATAGATGGAGAGAAATGGACAGATTTCAGATATATTTTGAAGACAGGCTGGAAATGGATCAGCTATAGAAGATGGGTGGAGAGGAGAATCAAGTAAAACATTTAAGTTTTTGGCCTGAGCAACTGGGCAGATACTGATGTCAGTTACTGGTATAACAAAGGCAGAGAGGAAAATAGGTTGAGGAGAAGAAAACAAAAAATGTGTTTTGCTTGTGTTAAATCTGAGGTGCCTGGTACATATCCAAAATGGAGATTTCAGGAATAATAACACCTATAATATCATACTTGTCACCGTTTTCAATGTTTTACATATAATAACTCACTTAATGCTACTAAGTTGTATAACTCGCTTGAGGTTGTCAGTGACTGAGGTGGCACCCGGATGCAGGTGTATGACTGCAGAGTCTGCTGCTTTTCCAACCATCAGCAGTTAGATCATGACTCTGGAGCTCAGGGGCAAGCCCGGGGCTAGAGACAAAAATCTCATGTCATCGGCCCATCGTGACATGCAAAGACAGAGCTGGAAGAGAGCGTCTGGGCGAGAGTGTAGACAGAGGAGAGGCAAGGCCTAAGCCTGAGAGGGCTCTACAAAGGGAGACTACATCTATAAAAAAGTGTTTGGAAATTACAAAGGAGAGAGGAAATAGAAACTATGTTAGTCTTTTCAGCTGGGCTTTGCTCTTGAACCTCTCTCACATTACTGGTATGCTCTGTCAACACCTTAATTATGCTAAGGTGGGCTATTCCAGGGATGAAGCTTTCAATCCTAAACTGTCAGAGAGTACCTGACCTTCATCAAGAACCAACCGGACTCAACAAAGAAAAAGATTCAGACTTGACTTTAGTAGCTTCTAATACTCATAAGTCCTAAAATAACATCCACATGAGCTTCATGTACAAGTTCTTTTGAATGACACATCAACTTTCCGATAATTCTCAGGCCTACCTATTCAAACATCTTCCGTATTCTCTATTCCGTAACATCCCCTTGTTCCTAATGTTTCCAGTTATGAGACAGGACTTAACGGACAAGACAATATGAATCTTGACTGCTATAAAAATTTATTTTAAATTTAAGCTTTCATTCCAAGATTGCTAGTTAATCTCTAACACACACATTTAAGCTCCATCTGTTTCCCCAAAGTTAGGCTCTATATCGATTTTATAGGAACTGAAGAGTCAGGACTTTCGTTTTTATTTGTTAACAAACATTGAAAGGAACATTTTATTTAAGGTTGAACCACACAAAACTGATGACTGGGGGCCTTTTTTGACCTCCAAAAGCACCAACTTCACATAGTTCAAGATACAGTTCCATAATTTATTAAGTCTCTTCTGTCCCCAAACTTTAAACGACATATCCTTATTTTTAGAATGTCTTCTACCCCCTTCTAAAAAAAACACAGAAAGAAATATGACTTTTAAGTTGAATAAAATTAATGATGAATCAGAGGAAAAATTCTAAGTCCATTTTAGTAAGCTGTTTAATATAAGCAAGTTTTTTGCTACGAGATACATTTGGCAAAGGATCTGCACGTGTGCGATTTGTGGGGGTTTTCTGTACTGGCGTTCTTTCACATTTTAACTTCCTATAATTAACAGAATAATGTCCTCTGAACAGAAAGCTATTTTGTCTTATTTTAACAGAAAAGAAAACTTTTCTTATTCTCCATACATCCTATTAAATTTTGGCAAATATCAATTTTTAAAACTTTTTTCATCCCAAATATTACTATATGAAGCTTTTATTTTTTATTCACATAATTCCTGAGTCATTTTTATGAATTACTATTGGTTACTGGTGACTCCTTTTATTGTAGAAACTTTCAAGTATAGCAGTCCCCCCCTTATCTGTAGTTTCACTTTGCGTGGTTTCAGATTCTTATAATCGGCCAGGCTCTCAAAATATTAAATAGCTAAATTCCAGAAATGAACAATTCATAAGTTTTAAGTGTGATAAAATCTCACGCTGTCTGGCCTTGGATGTGAATCACCTCTTTGTGAACCGTATCCACGCTGTATATGCCACCCGCCTGTAGTCACTTGGTAGCTGTCTTGGTTATCAGACAGAACAAAACACAGTATATACAGAGGGTTCGGTACTATCTGCAGGTTCACGCATCCACTGGGGGTCTCAGAACATATTCCCCAAGCATAATGGGGGACTACTGTATACACAAAAAAGGCAGTCAATAATATAATAAACCCCCATACACCTGACACCTACCTTCAACAATTACCACCATGGCTAATTCTATTTTATCAACACTCTCATCCTCTTTCCATCCCCACCCCAGATTATTCTGATGAAAAATTTGGACATTATCATTTCATCTGTAAATATTTCATAGGTATGATGGAATTTTTAAAATTTAGGCTCCATTTTATCCTATTCCACAGTTATAATGTCATTGAACCCAACCAATGACAGTCTTATTAGCTACTAAGATCTATTTGTATTGACATCCTTAAAATGAGGGAGAATGGAAGGTGCTCATTTATAGCTATTATCCATGCCATTTATGAATTATGTTATTATAAAACCATATTTACAATCAAGACTCTTCTAAAGGAAACTAAACTAGGAAAACTGTTAAGATAAAAAAGCAAAGACTACTGACAGAATTCTGAAGGTTTTAAGTGTTGGTTACAAGGTAAAAGTTAAACAGCGGCTGCATAGCTGTAAGGACTCTTACATAGGATGCACAGGATGTTTACAGTCAAACTGTCAAAGGTCAAGCCGTGTCAGAAAACTTTTTCTACTACTTCTTTTTCATCACTTTCCATCCAGTTAGGGTAAACGAAGTTGTCATAAATAACCTATAATTCTAATGTTTAAAAAATAGGAGAGAGAAAATAGTTTTACTTTGTTATTATTGCTGCTTTCAGCAAGGAGTTTAAGTAGGGACCCAGTAACTACAGGACAGTCTACTATATAGCAAAAATAGAGTATGAAACATATAAAGATGGTCCCTGACTAACAATGGTTCCACTTAGGATTTTATGACTTCACAATGGGTTTAGGGGAGGTAATCCCACCTTAAGTCCAGGAGCTCCTTATGTCTCGTGATGGGGTCATGGTTTCCACTGAATGAGTACCACTTTCATACCATTTTAAAGTCATCCTAATTGGAACCATAGTAATACACCACAGTAAGTTGGGGGCCATCTGCTGTGTTGCCGGCATTAAATGCATTTTTAATTTGTAATTTGCAATATTTTCAATTTATGATGATGGGTTTATCAGGACGTAGTCCCACCATAAGTCAAGGAGTATCTGTAGTCTACTAAAAGTTCTACTACTTCATGGAAATAATCACATAGTGTACATGAATGCAAGTGACAATCACTTGACTCTGGTGCTAGAAAGAAATGCCCTGTACCTTTCAGTGTCCCAGAGTATACCCAGCACATACCTCTTTTTGACTAGACTGGAAGTTTAAATTTAACATTACAACACAGTAACTTAACATTTCTAATAGAATACATCTCCCTTTTCATAATCCTTTGTTTTTCATCATTCTTATTTTTAATTTTCCTGTTTCATATGGAATTTTTTCATATTCACTGACTCAAATCCTTTTAGTAAGTAGCCAAAGTATATATTACCAATAAGTATATTTGGAAAAAATGGGTGAAAACATTTTCTGAATCATGAAAAGTTCAAAATGTTTTAGAACCGAGTGCTTAATTTCTTTCCAAATGAGATCAAAAAAAGAGCATGGAGGCAGAATTTATGAATCCCCCAGGTCTGTAAGAGTGGTCAACACGTCTCCTCTGATGGTGGCTCCTGTGAGAGAAGATTGCTCATAAAGTACTTAGGTGGAGAAACCCGCACGCCATCGACACGCCCAGAGAGCGACGCTCTCCACAGAGCCATGCAGGCCTCTCTGCATCACCTCACTCGTTCTTTCCCGAGGCTGGGGGAACAGCTCACACAGTTTGAGTGTCTAAGAAGCAACTGGCCATGTGTGGCTCCGTTGTTTCCTTCTCCTTTCCTCTGGGATTCACACACACTGACTGGGCTCTGCTCACGCATGCATTTACCGAATAAACTGCTATGGCAGGAGATCAGCCAGTATTGCCTGTAACTGGATGGGTGAGTCTGTCCAATTTAAGGGTGTGGAGCTAAGCCACATTCTTCCACCTACTCTGCTTGGTAACAAAGCTGGCATTTCAATCTCTAGCTATCTGAACCCCAAGTATATCTCTTCATTTGGTAAGAACTTAAGCAGAGAAACACAGATGTAATTTACTGACCTTCTCAAAACCTTAACACCACTTTTTATCAAACAATTATTATATGCCAGGCAGTATGCCAAGCACTTTACAAACACTGCTTCATATAATTTTCAAAACCACCCCAAAAGGTCCCAAAGTCACACAGCTCAAAAGAGCATAGAACAAATACTGAAAATAAAATTAAATCTCTCTATAAAGCCAGATGCCTATGAAATAAACACATTTAAAAAGAAAACTAAATCAGCCGGGTACGGTGGCTCACACCTGTAATCCTAGCATGATGGGAGGATTTCTTGAGCTCAGAAGTTCAAGACCAGCCTGAGTGACAGTGATGCTGCCTCTCTATTAAAAACAGAAAAATTGCTGGGTGTCATGGCACATGCCTGTAGTCCCAGCTACTTGGGAGGTTGAGGCAGGAGGACTGCTTGAGCCCAGGAGTTCAAGGTTGCAGTGAGCAATGATGACACCACTGCACTTTATCCAGGTGACAGAGCCAGACTCTGTCTCGAGAAAACTAAATCAAGAGGTTTATTTTTGGTAAAGAATTTTACTTAATGGTTAACAAAACTATGACATATGCAAAACCAATTAATATTACTCTCCTCTTCTTTCTCAAGGTCTCAGTAGCCCCATTAAGTTGATCGTTCCCTCATTGGAACTTTTCTTTCTTGGATTTTAACACCTTGTATACCCTGGTTTCCCTCCCCCCACCTCTCTGGCTCCTCATTCACCAGTCCGTCTTCCTCTGTTTTATTTAGTATCTCTAAATTTATTTGGTGGACCACAAGTTCAACCCCAATACCTCTTCTTTATGTCCACTCTGCCCCTAAGTGGTCTCATCCATTTTCACCCAATCGTAGCTTAAAATTCCATCTTTATGTGGACGATTCTCAAGGTATACCTTCCTCATGAAGCACGTTTGCACCCACTCGACTACCTGACGTTTGTATGCTAACAGACAACTCATGCTTGGCCAAAAGAAAATGTCTGATCTTTCTACATCTATTTCCAAATTATGCCATCCCTAGTCTTCCCAACAACACTGAATGTACCAGCACTTAGCCTCAAGGGAAAACAAATTCCTCTTTTTCCTTCACCCACACGCCCTACATAGTCTGCTACTTTTCTGCCTTCAAACAACTCTATCCACAACGTCATCAACTCTCTCCTTGGATATAAGAAAAGCTTCATAACTGGCCTGTTGTCCCTTTGGTCCTGTGATAAGCCATCCTCCACAACCCAGCTCCTGAGCTTCTACCACCCTGGACCTATTCCTGGTCTGAGAATGACCAAACCCTTTTTAGGGTAAAGCCTTTTGTATTAACTGTCTCTCTGTATGGAAAATGCTACCACTAAATCTTGATGCGGCAGGTTCTTTTATGTCACTCTGGTCATAATTCAGATGTTGCCTCGGCAGAAAGACTTTCCTTACCACCATACCTAAAGTAGATGCTCTTCCCCACAACCAGTTACTTTCTATCACAACATAAACTATAATTAATATATTCATTTTTGGTTTGACCTGCTCCTTTTTTTCATGTTTCCATGAACGCAGGTAACAGTGTCTGGCATAAGGTAAGTACTTTATTTTTTTTAAGTTGAATAAATCCATTAATCTTATGGTGTAATTATTTACTTCTTCATAATCACATAGTCTTAAATCCCAAGCATATGAGTTGAACATCATAAATCATAATTCAATCAGAATGTATGAAGAGCTACTTACGGAGTCCCACAGAATCTGGTTTGCCATTATCATTCTTGCTTGGTTGCACAAGTGGAGCAAATGAAACAGCAAGGATATTTTTACTTTCCCAAGTGTTCTGTCCAGTTCGCATAATCTGTGTTAGCTATTTAGAGAAAAAAGAAAAATAATAGCTTAATCTTGGCAATGTGATCACCTTACAGTCAAAATTTTGTTTTAAGGGAATAACTGCCAATGATCTATATAATCACATTAGCATGCAACCAAATTACTTCCATTTAAATATTTACTATAAAATAATATAGAAGGAATTAAAATATTTGCTGTTAAGGTAAATATTTCAATGCAAATGGGATACCCAAATATGGCCAAAAGAGTCTGCATGTGTATTTATTATACTTAATAATTCCAAACCAAGGTATGAAAAAATAAATTTATTAATGCTCATAAATAGCTGAAGAATATTTTTAAGTATTTATAGTACAGTACTAAATGAAGAATTTAAAATTCGCTTGTTTTATTAATGAAGGTAAGTGGTATAAACCAAATCACAAACAGGATTTCTTTTCAATATGTTCAAAGAACTGAAGAATGCTGGAAACTGAGCAGCTGGCAGAGACCATCACATTCAACTGAACGCCTCTGGGAGAGGGCACTGAAGGAGGAAGCAGCCTACTGAACGCCATGCACGTGGGGCAGCTCCAGTGAAAGCCCAAGTCTTCTCCTACCACAGCATAGGGATCTGCTATATTTACGTTGCTTAAATAATTAAAGAGTCTGTTTCGAGTTTCTTCTATACAGATAGATATCTCTGTGAAGAATACTTTTTCTTTAAAAATTACAATGTGCCTCTCACTAAATAATATTTTTCCCATTCTTAAACAAATGTGTTTGTACCCATGCCACTAGGCAAAGGACAGTGGAAGTTACCTGATCCTCTATAGGCATGACTAGTATGCCTCCAACTTTCAGCAATATTTTCATGTAGTTTTCATGGTCTTTCTGGACTCCAGCTCCACAATAAATTCGATCATACTGATGACTGTCAGAGGCTATCTGGAGGCAATTACCGACCACAAATGCAGGTTCACAGAACTCAAATCTGCATGGAAAAACAAATATATTTTAATTCATTTAAACAAAACATTAGATCCAAAAAATTTACCATAATCCAATCCTTAGAAATAAATAATGAAGTTATTCCCACTATTATCAGAATAAAATATGATTACAAATTTTACGTAAATATAATATTTGTTAAATTTAACACTAATCAAATGTATTTTTTTACTATCACTGAATTTTTGGACACAATGAAACCTCAATAAAGGTTTGAAAAAGGAATAAAATGAAAAGCCCATCACGACGCCAATCTTGTGATGCCTCCAAAATGACATATGATAATGAGAATTCTAAGGCTCAACAAGTGAGAAAAGGCTTCATTTTCCACTGTCCTTTCCAAAAAAGGTGAGGGGCCAAAGGAAATGAGAAGGCTCGTGCAATATTCCTCCCAGTCTGACATTTCTGAGGATAACAGTGGCAGAGCTTTGCCAAAAAAAAGATACCAGTGTCCTGCCCATATACCCTTGCAACCACTAAGATTAGGGACATGTTCCCAAAATATTTTGGCTGAGAGCATTACAGTAATGGGAAAGAGAAGAATGAACACTGTTTCTCATACTGCTGCTTGTGCCCCTATGATCTCCCTAAGCAATGAAAGAAGAGAGAAGGTTTCAAAGCAGAGGTATTTTATCCCGGCTGCTTGTCCCTGGTTACAGTGTTGGTTCATGGTACACACAGTTATGCGTTTACAAACTATCCTATTCAGATTTCTACCTTATTCCTTAAATTTGATAAACTTTTGCACTCTATAACACATAATTAAAACCTCAGTGCACTAATAAGACATGAAATCTTTTTATTAATTAACTCATATCCTTTCACTTTTAGGTTGATTAAAGTTAATATGATTATATAGCAAAACACAGGCTGTTGTTTGAAGATGAAATAATTTCCATTAAAAGCTCTGGCAGGCAGTGAAAAATGAAACTGATTTGAATCACAATTATTTTTATTTTGTAAAACATATCCTGTCCTTTGGTAATTAACAGTAGATTTATTACACAGTGAGTTTCCACTGAAAGTCACTAAACAGATATAGTATAAACATAGATTTAAAGAAGAATTTACCAGAAATTATACCCTGTCCTTAACTTCTCGTTTTCTCGGTGCAAGTGGGTAAAAGGTAGGGTGGGGAGGGTCGAGGGAGCTGGGGAGTAAACAGTACACACCTTGCATTCTCCGCCCCACACGAAGCCAGCCCTGTTATTTCTTCTGTTGTAACTGCCACCTCACTGCTCACATCTTTCAGGTCTCTCTTCCATCACCTTGCTTCCTACTGCACGGGGTAAGTTTGAGCTCCCAGGAGTGCTGTGTGGGGTTCTTTATGATTCTACCAGCAAGCTGTCCTACCAGACTCATAACCTGGCTCTGCCCCAACCAGTACATACTATAACTTCACAAAGACTGAATTATTTGCTTCTAATTCTTTTTGGGAACCATTACAAAGTATTTTGAAACCCTGTATATGTGTATGTGCTGTTCCTTTGACTGGAATACCCTTCCCCCTCCTTCTTCCCTTAATAAATGCCTGCTATCCCTGCAAGACACAGTTCAAGGATCAGGTTCACACTGACATCTTACTCAACTCTTTAACAGCATCTCATTCTTTCTACTTGCATAGCATATAAAAGTGTAAACTTGCTGAGGTTAGAGAATCATATTCAATTTCTCTTTTATACTCAAGACTGGCACAATCTGATTGTCTAATGTATGGCCAAAACATAATTTCTTGGCTTTTAATTAATTAGACACTGTGGATCATATGGTTTACTCACTTTATCAAATTCACAGTAAACATCCTTTAAATAAAACAAAGTTAGACTATTTTCAATAAGGTCTATCTAAAAATCTTCATTCTTAGAAATATTAATTTTAAATGCTTTAATTTTATAATAGACATCAATCTTATAATTTTCAGGATGAATATAAGCAGGGAATTTAAATAATCAAAAAATTTTGAATTATAAGCTTTTTTATCAAATACATTAAATCAACTCAAATATATGCTTATCATTTTAAAAGCCTTCTAACTAGTCAAAAATAAGTGGTAGCCTACAGAACTATTATCAAGGGAAATACTATTAAAGGTAATGACAACTTAAAATTATAACTTCTCATGTTAGTGATATTTTACACATTTTTATCACAGCAAAATAAATTAGAAACAATTTAGTTGCTGCTCCTAAAATCAAGTTCTGGGCAAGTTACCTTATACCCATAATTGCACACACTTCCTTCAGTTAAATACTATTTATTGAGCACCGGCTGTGTGTAATGGCTGGGTATACAATGGGAAACATTCATGCCTGCATCTAGTGGAAGAGACAAGCAAACAAGCCCATTCATTGAATAGAAAGAACACTTACAACTGTGATAAATGCTCTAAGGAAAAGAACATGACTCCTTAAGACTGAGGATGAAACTGACAGACCTGGGGATCAGAGAAAGGTTCCCTGAGAAATGACAAGCTGTGATCTGAAAAGTAAGACAGGGCAATCTAGAGCCACACTGTCAAAGATGATAGCCACTAGCCACATGAGGCTGCTTGAACCCTTAAAATGTGACTGGTTCAAACTCAGCTGTACTGGAAGTATAAAATTCACATGGGTTTTCAAAGACTTAATACAAAATACAACACTTAATACAAAAAAGAATGTAAAATATCTCAATAATTCTTCTATATTAAAATATATACACTTTTTGTTTTAACAGCTACACAAAAGGAAAATACTAAACAACTACCCTTTTACTTATTACAGGTAAATAGTTGCTTCAAATACTTCTTAACACAATCTTCCCTTTGCAACATTTTCCTGGTGTTCCTTCTATTACTATCTCCTCTGAATATTTTTTTTCTGAATTTAATTGTATCTCCATCACCTATTATGGTCCTCAAAATACATTTATTAAATAAGTGAACCTTATAAGAAATATAAATGTTTTGTCTTAACTTTTCTACCCAACAACTTTGAATATGAACCTAAAATTGGCAAGTTAAATATGCTAATCACAAATATCTCAGAGCTAGAAGAGAAACTTGCCTAGAAATAAGGTTATAGAAAAAGTATTTGCCTATGGTACTCTCTATAGTAATATAATGGCTCAACATTTTACTAAATTGGTTACTATAATAACTGAAGCTTCATATTATAGAATACGTGATTTTTTTCCCAACATGCAAAAAAAGGCAAAACTGAAATAGCAAAAAATACCAAAAAAAACTCTTGCATTTAATGAATAATCAACTCTCCTATAACTGAAAGGCAGGGTTTGTGTTTTTGTTTTTTTTCTTTCCGAAGATCTCAAATAAACCACCCTTATTATTCTGGTACACAACCTGAATGTTTTCCTTCCTAATGGAAAGCAGAACAAGTATATCCACTTCCTAAGGAGAATTACAATGGATAATTGTAAAAATCAAATCCTTAAATTCATAAATAATTTCTACAATGGAATATATACTTCTAACAAAAGTATACAGGGTCTTTACGTTTCTATTTAACATATTTAAATTGATTCTCTTTACCAGAATACTCAAATTTGAAAGCTTACTTGAATTTGAGATAATATTCTAAAAGGACTGTATTATTTCTAAATTTAAAAACTAGTAAAAATTGAAGGACATACAAAATTGGCGGGGGGAATGCAGTATTTTTATATGCTGACACTAAGACATCTAGAATATAGCAGAGAAGGCATATGCCAAGCACACTATAAGAAAACCATAACATTATCATTTAGTAGTTATCAGAAAAATGTCTAGAGATAGTGACCCATCTGAGGATTATTTGTTATAAGTATGGCTTAACCTTTTCCACCCGTAACACACGAAACTTTGAAATCAGCTCAACTGTATATTCTTTTCTTTAATCTATAAAGGGATTATGGATTAATTTTCCTAATAAAGTACTTAAGATGAGTTCTGGTATTTCTGACTCAGTACAGTGTTGAGAATCTTAGACATTTTGTATTCTGATACTAACATTATGGCTTATTTTTATAATAGCATTTCATGTAAATAAATTCATAACAATCAGGTTACAGAACAACCAAAATTCCACTGTTAGTATTTTTTCAAAAAAATAACTGATTCAAGACATAGATGGTGGCTACCATGTTACCAAACAGTAAATTACAACTCCTACTGCTGCTTCTAAGATAAAGAAGAAAATACATTTTCCTTCCTTAGGCTTTTACTATCTTCTGAAAGCTGTATCTTACCTAAGTTTCCACCCAGCTACAGAGGTAAAGGACATATTTTAAACTACAAATACAATTTCTGCATTATTTGGAAAACCGCAGCAATAAACTAACCAGAAGTTCTTAGTTTATTATGAAAAAGCACTACATTATTTATAAATTTACACACATAAAGGTTAAAAATAGTAAAAGAGAAAATCTGAATTCTATCTTTTTACATCAATCACACAATGAAATCTGAGAAAGAAAAAAAATGGCGAGAAGTCTACCAAAATGATACTTTGTATGTGGTTAGAATTATTTGTAAAAGAATAGTTAATTTGTTCTTTCCCTAATTTTTATTCTTGATTTAGGAGTTCATTAAAATTTTATGTCTTTAAGCAAAATGAAAAGTAGCAATCATTTTTATTCTTTGAAGAAAATTTCCCAAACAAAATTCTGAGATGACTCACACTCCTAAATTATACTACCAAAAATGTTATCTATAGACAGAAAAAAAATTCCACAGTCCTGAAATGTGTAATAATAACCACAAATTCATTCATTCTAGGCTTATAATCATCTATTAAACCTGAAGATGCAATGAATGTTCTTTAGACTCTCTTCTGCAGAGGAAAAAATAATTGACATACTCCTACTAAAATGTACACTGAAATCATTTAGGGGAAAGTATAGAACACATAGATATCTTGGTTTAGAACATGAACACTTGCTCAAAATAACTCCAGGATTCTAATCACTTACCTCAGAAGTAGTTTTCTTTACAGGTGCATGTTGGAA